CGATGCCATGCGCCCCACTAGTTTCAAATTAATTACAAAGAACGGTCCATCCAATATTTATCAAAATAGTCAGCATGATGCTCAACCAATATTTTTGAACAGTTTTTGCTAAAAAGCGGACGAAAATTTTAGCAATTTTCAAATTTTAATTTCAAAGAAGCGCCTCGGCCGATTTTTGCAAAAATTTGTACAGTGCAGTCTTTATCAAATTTCTTTGAATGATTTAAAAATTTGTAATCGGTTACAATCGTTTTTAATAAAACGTCCACGAAAAGAGGCTCCCAAAGTTCATGGAGAGTTAGAGTAGATGATTTCGAAGATACGAGGTAAAAAAGTAACAAGAATCGTAATTTTGAGAGAAGGGAGTGTCCGTTTCGAGTAATTCAAAAAACATTCGAATCGTATCAACGCGAAGACGTGCAGATTACTTTTTGGCAAAGGCAGGTCGAGCCGCTGCGTAAATACGGAGTAAAAAGTAACAGGAAATTCTGGAGATGAGTCAAATTAATTAGCCCTTTTGATGAAGAGGTCATACGTTTTCCGTGGCCAACCGCCATCGGAAACCCTAGTATTAGTTGTGTGTGCGTGGTGCCACAAGAAGACAGGTCCAGCTGAAGGTCAGATCAAGTAATATAAGCTGTAGCTATTCTCCCCGCACGTATTTTGTACACTTGTAATAATATAAGAATAAGAGATATTAGTTAGCGAATTTGACTCTGTACTAGCATACAATCATGTTCCACGAAAACATGCGTAATGTATTTTCAATTATTAAATAGATTTATCTATAAAAGTAATCTTGTTCTTATTAGCATATTAGCTACTAACCCCCACAGGTGTTTACAGGTACTTTAGCGGGCAAATAGAGTGCTAAGGTAATCTTCGTATTGGGAAGCGGTGCTATAATTATACTACATAGCAGCATCGCCCCCAAAGAGGACACCGTAAAACCACCAATCGTTACAATTTACTTATAACCCACATATTTATTCCAATTTGATCTCAAACTGTCTAAAGTAGAGAGACCATAAAATTAGTAAGTTGGAATTTTTGACGAAAACAAACTTTGTCTTTGGGAAAATAAAAACCGATTTTAAATTGTTTGTAGAAATTTTGGAAAGTGACAGATAAATATATTGATATATAACTTTTATGCAATTTTTATTTTGTGAGAGTTTATTCTTTGTAAGGGCTTCTCAATAAATGATACGGCAACATGCATATCAAAAGCACAAATGCACCCTACACCCCAAGTTATTAACAGTGTTTGAAAAAAAATGAACCCAAAAACTCTTGATATTATATACACTTCCGGTAATAATTTTAACATTTTTTACTTTTTTTATTTATTGATGATTGTAATAATAATTGAATAATAATTTTTTGGAATATAAATTCCTCTTATAAATATAAAAGGTTTGAACTACTTGCTGTGCGATCAGGCGTTTTACACATAAAACCTAACTTCACGTATGTGTTATAAAGGGCACATTATGAAGATGCATTTATCATAAAATTGTTAATTGGCGTTTGTCGTTTTGTAAGTTAGATGGTGTAATTGGCGTTTTGTAGGTTAAATTTTTTGTGTGAAACGCCTGATCGCCCAGCAATTACATGCTTTTTGACAGTTTTACTACTAATTTATTAGAAAGTAGGACCGTAAAATAGCGTGATTAATTTGTTTGGCATTTGACTTCACTTTTTAAGCTTCTAAATAGAAATATTATAGCTACAATTTTGTTTTTAGGATTTCAAAATTTTGAGAGCATAATAGCTAATTAATATAAATTAATTATGTTAATTGTCTTATACAGACATAAACATCTTTTCAGAGCGCAACTTTTTGGTGTGGCAACATATAATACTGATAATGTACTTATCACCTCGGCGAAGGTATTACATGTACCTAATTTATCAACTTTTTTCAAATTAATAAATTTCCGTAGGGTAGGTTATATTAAATGTTTACATTACTTTACGTTTCAATGATTTTTAAACATTTTAGCATTCCTTAGAAAAAATTTATGTTTGTGTGTGTATGTGTGTATGTGTATATATGGATGTGTGTGCAAATACAAAATTTTGTCAACGATTTTGAGAATACGGATCAACTGATTTGAATGATTCAGAAAATATTCGATTCCTACTAATAAGGAGTCGTGCTGATCAGTTTTTGGACAAGGCAGGTCCAGCCGTTTTGAAGATACGAGGCAAAAATGCCAAAAATGGTAACTCAGTTTTTGAGAGAAAGGAGCGTCTGATTTCAATAATTCAACAAAAACAAAATGAAGAAATGATGGGGAAGACAGGTCAAGCGGTTTCCAAGATGCCATTTGGGGGTCACAAGTGATCATTAAATATATGCACATCAAATTATCAGGCATTTAATAGAGATTTTATTAATAAGTATAATTGTTTACATCTCTATGGGTTCCGTACCAATATTCATTCATTAGACTGCAACGCGGCGCTTACGTGATTTGATATTTCTTCTCTAAAACAGCCACGCAGCATAACTGCTTTGAAAAAAAGTTCAAGATAAAAAATCTAATTTTAAAAATATCATTTTTTCAGTTTTCAAAAAAAAATCAAGGCTTTTTTCGAAATTGTAACTTTTGGTTCGAAAAGTTCCAGCATTTTGCCTTAAGGCACGAAGCCATGCACCACTAGTTAATTATTAGTATGATTCGTTATAACAAATGGTTTTAAAAAATAAACAAAATAGAATTAGTTTTTATGCGATTTTTACGAGATTTTGTCTTGTGCTTTCATTTGAGATATATAACTTCAAGTGGCAATTTGGTATCATACTGCTTTATATCGAGCTTGGATGAAGTTGGAATCAAACCCGAGACTCGTTGGTGCTATTCCACGTCTTTACAGTGTCTGGTTGGAAATCATATAATTTTTTCGTCTATATTGAACATATTTGTTTCCTGATGTAGAATCCAGTTTGGACACGGGACTGGTGTTTGTAAAAGAGCGTTAAATTATATAATTTCATGTCCAAGTGCTACGCAAGCATTTATTTTTTTTTGGAGTTATAGTAGCAGAGTTTACAAAAATTGTGTCAGGTAGATATACTGCTACGTTTAAAAATAATGATGTTAAGGTTAAATATGATATATCAATTTCATAATTATATTGCTTATATGACTTGCAATTATGAAGAAATCTTTCATTAGCCGCGAACAAAGTCACGCAAATGGACCAAACTTGACAGACCATAATGTTTGTCAAGGTTGTTTATCAAATCCAGAATTTAGTAACACCAACGACGCACGAAATAAATCTCATGTTAATTTTCAACATATTTATGAAACTTAATTTTATGTGAAACACGGTAATTAATTTCAATATTATCAAATAAATAAAAATATAAATAAGTAATATCAACTAATTTTAATTAATTTATACGCGACCATAGTAAATACTTTATAAAATATTTTATTTTTTTTAATTTATTTTGTATTATTTTTGTTCTATATTTTAGTTTAGTGCATTTGTTTATTCATAATAATATGCATATTACATAAAACTAATAAATAATAAAATGCTCTTTAATGTTTTTTCAAACTAAAAAAATAATTAATTTTTAAAAATAAAATAATTAACATATTAATATGAACTATATAAATAATCCCGTAATCATTATGTTAATGAAATTAAAAATATAATTTATTCAACAAAAAATTTAAATTTTCATTGTTGACTTCATTAAAATGAATAATATATAATTTTTTTCAACAGTGATTTGAAAAAACAATTGAATATAAAATAAAGTTTTTTTTATTCAGGACAAATGAGAATATAGATATGTAATAATAATTTATTTCTTAAATGATAGTTAATTTTTCTTTATTGAGATTATAAATTGTATAGGGAGACTGGGTACGATTGTGCCAGGGTACGGTAGCGACAGCTGTAATAACAGCTAAATCATGTTGATTTTGAGATATGGTCCAAAGAAAAAGAAATAAAGTATGTTTATTCGAACAAGTTTCCATTATTGCATTCAGTCAGCAAAACAAAATATGGAAGAGAAAGAAAAAATAAAAATTAAATACAAGAGAAAAAATGTACAAAGATTTCTTGATAACTTTGTTTAAAAAAATATGTTTTGTTATATATATTATATTAGTATTTGTCATATTATTTTCATAAACTTTGTTTAAATAATTATGTTATGTTGTATTACATATTTCTGATAATAAAAATCGTTATATACAATTCTGGTTTTTATATCTGTTGTTTTTTAACCTATATTTATGCCTGTCACAACCGTCCTGGAATGGGAACGTCTGAGACACTCATATGAGTATCTTTTTTCTTGTATGATTTGTTCTTATGACTAAATCCATCGTGTTTAGAGTCAGTACTTTCCATGTAGATAATAGTTCAAATTACCATTTAATTTACTTTTTTCTCAGCTAGCTATTAAATCAACAATATCATTGCTGATAAAAAAAAGTAGCACAACCCAGTCTCCCCTAATATAGATTAAAATCTATAGTGTCCACTTCAAATTGGTTAAACATAAAGAATATTCAACAACATCAGATGAAAATTGTGCAATAGAATTATCATTTACAAATTTTCAAATTTAAAATAAATTTTATCACAATAACAGATATTTTTGAATAAAAATTTACTTAAACATACTTTGAGTGAGTATGTTTACATGGTTTAAGCTTATTTATATTAACTGTATATATGATTACATGAATATACGAGTATGCAATTACACATAAACATTTACATACACATAAACAAAATTGTGATAAATTTATTTTCTAATAGTCTTAATGATATCAATCCTCCACTGATTTTTATTTAGTGAAGTGATCGGCCGAGTGTAAGCGTTGTTGATGCAACTAAACTCGTACTCATAGTTATACATGATGATGTTTGTAATTTAATTGTAGTGGAATCAGTGAGGTTGACTCTCAAACAAAATATATTATAACAATAAATTTCTTTGTGTTATTCGTTTATTATTTTATTAAAAGTTAGTGAATGCTGCGCCTTACTGTATTTTAGTTATATTGATAATTTTGGATTTGAATTACAGTGTTAATATAAGTAAGTTTACCAACCGTTTTGAACTGTATATATATATATATATATATATATATATATATATATAAGGTGGTAGAGTCTTGGATTTGTAAATATTTTATAGCGCTTCGAACAAAGAATCCAAAATGTCATAAAAAACAGAAAAGCTTTTTAAAAAGCCATTTCTTTATTTATTTACTACGTCTACGTTTTGGAACTAAGTACACTCCATCCAGTTAAATATATAGTTTGTTTAAATCTTACCAAGACCATGTTTCTTGATAGATGTCCTGAGGATGGAACGTACCTAGTTCCGAAACGTCGACAGTAAACAAATGAAGAAATGTTTTTCTAAAGACATTTTTGTTTTTTATTACTTCTTGGATATATTTATATATATATATATATATTTGTGTGTGTGTGTTATATAATTAAGAAGGGATATTCTTAAAATAGAAAATTTATGTCGAACCACGAGTGAGTATCCAACGACAGCTAGCGAACCGTAAAATTGTGTTGTAATTTAATTTTATATAACTAAATAATTAAAAGCAATACTGATCGAACTCATGTTTATTCTTTTTATTTGCAAAACACCGTTCTTAATATACAAAATATAATATTGGATTTTAAATTAGGCGTTTATCACAATTTATTTAACTAAATAAATTTGTTAAGTATTTTCACCAAGATTATACACAAGTGTGGTACTAATTGCAAATCCTTTGTGCGACCTTTTTATTGTTTTCTGAGAAATTTGGAAATACTGTCTAAATAAAAGAGATTTGAGTTCAGCATGTTGAGTTTATTAACTTCCGTAGGGCAGTTATAGTAATGGACCGAAAATCGAAAATGAAAATTTTTGCACTTCTCGACGTTTTGAAGGTTTCTGAACATTCTAGCGTACCTAAAAAAAAACTGGATGTGTTTGTGTGTGTGTGTTTTGTGTGTCCGCATTTTTTACGTTTACGTTTTCCGGCGCACGGATCAACCGATTTGAATGGTTCAAAAAACATTTGATTCCTATCGATAGGGTGATGTGTTGATTAGTTTTTGGCAAAGACAGGTCCAGCCGTTTCAGAGATACGAAGCAAAGGGTGCAGAAAATAAAAATCAAGTTTTTGAGGTGACGGAGCATCCGATTTGAATGATCCAAACAACATTCAATACGCAATGATTGGGAGAAATGGTGATTAGTTTTTGGCCAGTCGTTTCGGAGATACGGAGCTGAATGTGCAACAAAATGCAGTTTTTGAGAGAACTAATCATCCACTTTATAAAAACTTTTTGCTTCTATTGACGACACAATTGCTTTTGGGAAAAGAAATTTTTTTTATTTCATTTTTTTTTAATTTCAAAAAAATATATTTGTAATTCTTAATTCCAGCTAGTGTTAAAAATATTTCTTATAGACTTCAAATAAATAATTTTAACATAATTAGACAATGCTCTTTATTTTAAGTCCGATTAATTAAGCTAAATAAACGTCGTTGTCTAATTTAAAGCTATACACAAAGCTATATACAAAATAAAAATAAAAATGATGAAAGTTACAGTATTTATTACAATCTATTTGAAAACATTAAATATTCCTCAAATTTTCATCAAGGCTTAATGCACGAAACCATTCATCACTAGTTACTTATCATATATTATGTATTTTAAGTATGATCTGATAATTGAGTTTATTTTTAAAGATACGGTAAATCCGAACTAAAACAATTACATAATGCTATAATAAAAAATATACTTTCTGCACATCACATTCAAATGGGGGCAAACGGAAGGCACTAAATCACGCAATATTTGAATTAGCATTGCATTTTTTATATTGAAAATAGGATAAAAATGAAGCATTTAAGTTATTGTAATAAAGAATATAAAGACAGCTTAATAAACTTTTTAGCTAAATTTGCAACAAAATTAAAAACAAACGGCAAATAGAATATTTATAATATAAAATGATTTGTCTTCGATATGTCAACATAAGATTAAAATTTGTTGACATTGATTTCAGTCACATAGTCAAGAAAATGTTGTACAAATCGTTCCGTCTCTTAAAATGTATCAGTAATATTGTCGAATGGCCTGCAGTGCGTGGAGTGCATTAGATTAAATATTTCTTATGAAAATAAAGATAGCAGAATAAGTCTAAAAGAATTAATAAGATATGTAGTGCAAATATTTGTTTGTTTATTTAACTGTCTGTAGTGATTTATAAAATAGATTTTTGAATTCTCATAGGGTAAGTTATTGTAATCTACGTGCATTTTTTTGCATATTTGTACGTTTGAGGGGTTTCTTACGATATTTAGAATATCTTAAAAAAAATCGATGTGTGTACGCATGTATGTGTACAATTTTTCGTGCACGATTTCGAGAGATCGGATCAACCGACTTGAATTACTTAAAAAACATCCGATTTCTAGTGACTGGGAGTGCCGATAGTCTAACTAAATCATTCTTAACTTATTTATGGGATCTCAAAAACTGCTGAACCTGTTTCCACAAAAATGTTATCAATTTTTATTCCGTCAATTCAAGTACAATATTTTTAATTCGGACTAAATTCAATGCGGACGACCTGTTCTCCAAATTGAATTGCCATTTTTGCACTTTTTGACCCATAACTTTGAAACGGGTGGACCTTTACCAAAATCTAATCGACGAAGGTCCAGCCGTTTCAAAGATATGGGTCAAAAAGTGCAAAAATGGCAATTCAATTTGGAGAACAGGTCGTCAAAATTTATATAAAGGTCTCGTGAACTAAGCAACAGTGCTCACAACCACGAAAACTAACGATAGAAAATACTTATGTTAAGCATTTTCAAACGTTGGCGTTTTTCTCCTGTTAGCAACGTAGTAGGAATCAAGGTGATAGCAGGTTATGCATCTATTTTCCTGTACTTTCAAATATTGTTATGGAAAAACTTGTAACTTTACTAGATTTTGTTATATATAAACGGAACGGAGTATATTAGTTAAGTTTATGGCACGTTGTGTATGGCAGAAGAAGTAAAATGTCTATAGACTACTATAATTATGAAAGATACTAATTGTACTTGTTTATTTGTTTCCATCTCCTGACGTTTGGATGAATGATCTTTAGACTAACCACTAGCCAGTTGGTTGGCATATTTTACGAATTGCCAGTTGGGGAGTTTTGTTCCCAAATGCAGATCAGAATAATTTATTAGAACACTTTCATTCAAAGGCTATTCAAGATATTTGACTATGTCTGACTGAGGTACTTTTTTGCTAATTGCATAGAAATGCCTCGGCCGATCGTCGCGCAAAATATTTAACTGCTGTCATCATCGAGATACATCGAATAGCTTTTAAATTTTTGAAATAGGTTCAGGCGTTTTTGAACGCACATATACCCACACACATACTTTTTCCAAATTTGGTCTCATTCGATTCAGAATGGCTTGAAACGTCGATAAAACATAAAATTAGCAAAACAGATTTTGTCGCGAAAACAATAACTTATCCTTCGGCAAATTAAATAGTGGAATGAATCCAATTTGGTGTTTCGATAGATAATTGTGAAAGGATTTTTAAAAGTCAAGAAAGTATATTGGTCTCAGCTCTATCTAGGCCGATAAAAGAATCTAGTATTGTTCCTAAAATTATTTTAAACTGAAATGTTCATGAACCTGTCTTGAATTTATTTTTCATGAATTTATATTAGAATTAATTAATTACTAGGAAACATTTTTTTATAATTACAAAAGAAGGGTTTTCTAAACTAAAGGTCTACAGATAGTAATTATTGTTTATTAAATTTCAGCATGGCAAATTCTGAGAGAGAGAATACATTGAAAGAGGTATTGCCCGATCTTCTGAAACATGCCGATCTGTGTGAAAATTATAAAATAGAAAAGTTGAAACAAATTATAATGAATGATGTTTCTAGTGACAATAATTTCATGATAAGCTCACTATTTACATGCACTGTTCTATTTGAAGATAACAAAGAACTAAAACTGGTTATTAAAATATTGGACCAGGATGAATTTGTTCAAAAGTAAGTATATTCATTCATATTGCATGTTCATTCATATTTATATGGTAATATATGCATGTTATGCAAAGTTTATATAAATATATATATATATATATATATATATATATATATATATATAAAATTGTGAGTATCTTACAACCGATTCATATATTTTAGAATTAGTCAAAAAAAAAAGTTGGAACAAACTAAAATCATAAATCAAAGTTCTATGCAGAATCTAAATAAAACTAGTTGGCATTTTGCCTTGAAGCAAGTTACATGAACTTCAGTTCACAATAAGCAGAAGGCAATGTGGTCACTAATTAAATCAGAAATTTGTGTAAATAATCCACTTAACCAATAAAAAATAATTTATGAGAGATTAAAAGCATTCCGAGTAGATTTATTACACTTAATTGAACACGAATGAGTACGTTAACTCGGAGTATTTTCTAAAAGCAAAATTTCAAAAATCAATGATTTTTATAATTGAACCAGTTTCCGTAGGGCTTTGGCGGTTTAGTATGTTCATTAAGACCAAGAACTCTATCGTTATATCAAGTGAATCGTCTACTTTTAATTTTAACAAACGTCAAAAAAAATCATTATATCAAACTTTGATGAATTTTTAAAATTAAACTACTTGTCGTAAGGCAGTAATATTTCAGTAAGTTCTATAAGACCATGATATATATCGCCAAAAATAGTACTGTAGAAATTGGCTTAAATTTTTTTTCAACAGTTAATTACAAGAAAACGGCTTGGTAGATTTTTATCTTAAACTAATCAGTACCATTCCATATCTTTCGAACAGTTTTTGATTTTTTAAAATCGATTCGGTAGTATGAGCTTAAATGTCGACGAAAAATTTAACACTTTTTTCCAAATTACAACGAAACGGCTCGGCAGATCGTCGCACAAAACTGACAAACGATAACTCTCACCAACATACATCAAATGGCTTTTAAATTTCTGAAATCGGTTGAGGAAACGTCGATGAAAGGTCTAATTATGACAAACGCCAAAATTAAGAATGATTCTAATTTTTGCTAACTTTGACAAATTTTTAAAATTAAACAATTTGTCGTAGGGCCGTAATATTTTAGTATGATCTCTATAAGACTATGGTATTAACCGTTAAAAAAAAATCATGAAAATCGCCGAAATTTTTTTTAACACTTTATTACAAGAAAATGGCCGATCTTTACCAAAAACTAATCAGCACGATTCCCAACCAATATCTTTCGAACGGTTTTTGAATTTTCAAATTATTTTTCACTTTTCTGCTATTTACAAAGAAACGGCTTGGCTGATCGTCACGCTAAATTGATACACGCAAGTCCTCATCGAGATACATCGAATGGCTTTTAAATTTTTAAAATCGATTCAGCCGTTTTTGAGAAAACGTCGATTTACGGCGAAAAATCTGTTCACAAATTCATTCGATTCAGAATGGCTTGAATGTCGAGAAAATATAAAATTAGCGAATCTGATTTTTTTATGAAAACATAAACTTTTTCCTCGGGAAGTTAAAAAAATATTGTTCTCCATATGAATATAATGTAAATAGAAACTGTCAGTTTCTAATGTAATACAAACTAACTATTATTAATGAGCATTGAACAAAATATTTAGTCTGGTAAAACTTTTGAAGAAGACATCTTACAATATTAACTTTCATAACAAATTTTAAAAAATTAACTTTTAAAATTAAATATTAAATAATACAGTTCAGACGACTAAAGAATAATATGAAATTGTGGACAAACAAAAACAACAGAACATCAAATTAAAAAGACAACGCAATACTCTACGAATCAATAATTTAAAACTTATAATTACATTAATATAAAAGTAAAATTTCTTTTAATTAAAGCGTTTTTCAATCAAGACCGTTGATAAAGCTACAAGTCAACCTGGTCTTTCAATTGACCAAATTATTCAACATACACAAAAAACATATATGATCTGTTCACGAAGTTTTCGTATTATTTCCGTGTTATTCTGTATTATAGATGTCGAATTCCCACAATTCAAAATATAAACTAGTTGGTATTGGTATTTTGCTTTGAGGCAAGTAATGAACTTCTGGAAATGTAAGAATAATCGACTTAATCAATAAAAAATAAATTAATTTATGAGTGATTATAAGTATACCGAGTGGATTTATTACACATCATTGCAACGAACGAACGAACACGTTGTTAACTTCGGAGTATTTTTTAAAAGCAAATTTTCAAAAATCAATAATTTTTATATTTGAAACAGTTTTCTTCCGTAGGACTTAATGGTTTACTATGTTCAAGACCAACTCATTTTCTCAAACTTTGATGAATTTTTAAAATTAAACTACTTGTCGTAAGGCCGTAATATTTCAGTAGTTCTATAAGACCATGATATATATCGTCAAAAAAGTTCCATGAAAATCGGCTTAAATTTTTTTTCAACAGTTAATTACAAGAAAACGGTTCTGTAGATTTTCACCTAAAACTGATCAGTAACATTCCCAACTAATATTTTTCGAACAGTTTTTTGATTTTTTTAAAATCGGTTCGGTAGTATGAGCTTAAATGTGGACGAAAGGTTTAACACTTTTTTCCAAATCACAAAGAAACGGCTCGGCCGATCGTCGCACAAAACTGACAAACGATGATCATCATCGAGATACATCAAATGCTTTTTAAATATCTGAAATCGGTTTAGGCCGTTTTGAGCAAACGTCGATAAAGTTCTAATTTTGACAAATGCCAAAGAACTACTATACTAATTTTTGCAAACTTTGACGAATTTTAAAAGCTAAACCAGTTGCCGTAGGGCCATAATATTTTAGTATGATCTAGAAGATTGTGGTATCTACCGTCAAAAAATAATCATAAAAATCGTCGATTTTTTTTTTTTGTAAAACTTTATTACAAGAAAACGGCCCGCCGATCTCTACCAAAACTAATCAGCACCATACCCACCATATCTTTCGAACAGTTTTTGAATTTTCGAAATCTGATCAGAATTGCGGGCTAAAACGTAGACGAAAATTTTTTCACTTTTCTGCGATTTATAAAGAACGGCTTGGTCGATTGTCGCACAAACTGACAAACAATATCCCTCATCGAGATACATCGAATGGCTTTTAAATTTTTGAAATCGGTCCAGCCTTTTCGAGAAAACGTCGATTTACGGCAAAAATCTGTTCACAACACACACACACATACTTTTTCCAAATTTGGTCTCATTCGATTCAGAATGGCTTGAAACGCCGAAAAAATAAAATTAGCGATTTGGATTTTTTTATGAAACATAAACTTCTCCTTTGGGAAGTTAACAAGGACTTTTCGTATAGAAACTAAAATCGTAATTTAATTTTTATTAAGCATCATTCTTTTAAATCCCATTAAGCTATAATTTACTAAAATTTAATGGCGTAATTATAAATTTGCTAATGAAATTTGTCTATGCAGGTCATTTGGTATGGATAGATGTTTGCTAACGAAATTGTTGCTTATAACACGGTGATCGACAGTTTTGGATTTGAAAACTTTATTTCCTCGATGTTATTATTTTTCTGAACATGGAACACCAATCATCATAATGCAGGATACGAGTCGACGGCTATCGTATGACAGATACAATGACCTGGCTGTCTAAAGAGCACTTTCTATTGCTGGTATGCAATCAATTAACTAATTATATATACATGTATATATATTATATATATATATATATAAAGCGAGAGGTTTTTCTTCAGATGGTGAAATAGTATGATAAATTGTTTCTTGGGCATCCATCCAATAATTTAAAAAACAGTTTTAATGCAAAATGTTTAATTAAGAGAACAACGTTGCGGGTCCAGATTTGACCCATCTTCAGTGCTACAAATAAATATATCGGGGTTACAAATTAAAACAATATAAAAAATATATAAAAAGATACATAATTACAGACAAAAATAAGTAGAACCAATGTATATGAAAAGTATATATGAAAAAACAACATAAAAATAAAACAAATGTAAAGAGACTCACCATACAAATAAATTTTTAAAAAATATAACACAAACAAACACACACAAATTGTAGCGAAAAATAAGTATGAAAATAAATTGAAAAAACATCAATTTATGAAAATTTTTGAAAATTGTAAAAATTAAAATAAATAATATGTTTTATTATGAAAAGGCTTATTCCAAAACACATCTTGTTAGTTTGGAGACAGAGTTACGTGTGTGTAAACGAAAGTAAAATGTAGGCCTACGTGTTTGCAGCGGAAAATAGTGGAAACTGTATCGTCATCAATGGATGAGAGAACGGGATAGAGAGAATTTTAGAGGTTACAGTTATGAAGAATTTTCCAGCGATCATGCGCAAGGAACATAGAATTTTTTTTTAATGTGTAAGTCATCCATAATCAGACGGTTGAACAAAGCTGGATCAAATGAAATATGTGGATCAAAATAAAAATATAGAAACATAATAAAACCAAGACAGCACAATGTAAAAAATATGTGAATAGAGAATTATATTAAGAAAAAGTATAGATATTAACTGAAAACGATAAAAGTTAAAAAGCAAGTTATTATATAAACAATTATAACAAACATATATATGTATATATACGCAACATAATATTGTACATATGCATACACATACACAAAACATACTAACATAAACAACCACATGCACACATGCAATTACAACATATATGTAAAATCCAAATATGCACACAAATGCAACATATATGCCCATACATGTATATCAACAAACAAAAACATGTATAAATGTACCAATTGCATATACATACATACACTATACATATACATATACATATATCTATATATATAATATATAAAATATATAATCATATATATATATACACATAAAGAATTGTTAGAAGTATTGCGATATTGAAAAATTGTTCGAAGCATCTCGTAAATATTGCAAAGAGAAGCCGAATCAAAACGTTTGTTAATAGTAGGTAATATTTGTATAAAAATACTCTCAGCAAACTTCCTGCGTAAAGTGTTGGCTTCTCGATGAATAATTCTTGGATTGGTGGTATTAAAAGAATGTTTAAAGTTGGAGACATGTTCGGTGATCATGGTTTTATTTTGTTTCCTGTTAAGACTGTTAAGTTCGTGTTGGCGTATTCTTTTTGAGAGAAATTGTGAAGTTTCTCCAAACATAACAACTTGAACAATCATTACAATCAATGACATATACAACGTTTGACGTGCGGGAAATAGGGGTAGGAGTTTTTAAATTAGTGTATAAGTCTGAGAGAGTGTGTCCAGTCGAACCACTAGCTTCAGACCAACGGACGAAAAAAGTTTTTTTCCATGAGTGGAAAAGGCAATCGATGTACGGTAATGAGATGAAGGATTGAGAGATAGTGAATTTTCAGGAACAGGGTTAAGGGTTTGTGAAGTGATGCTATTTGTTGTGAATGGGAGGTAAATGAGGAAGATGTACGGAATTTATCTCGAAGAAATGGTAATCTATTATTAATTACTGAGCGTAAAAGTTGTAGTGGATAGGAATTATTTTGAAGGGTAGAATATATCAAATTGATATTTTTTTCCCAATGTGATGGATGAGAAAGAAGGATGGCATGGTCTAGTAAGTTGATGATAGATGCAATCTTAGTCGATTTGGGGTGATAGGAATGGTAGTTTAAATAACGTCCAGACCAAGTGGATTTTTGATACCAACATGTAGTGATGGAGCCGTTATTTATAAAAAGGGTAATATCTAAAAAATTAATGGAGTTGTTAAGTTGGGTCTCTACGGTAAAACAAAGGTGTGTGTCGAAATTATTAAAAGAATTTAGGAAATTGGTTATGTTATAAGTAGGAATGCAAGTTAAAATGTCATCAACGTAACGTTTGTAAAAAAGAGGTACATAAGACAAGGTATTAAGTGTAGAGTTCTCTAGGAACTGCATACAAAGTTCAGCAAGTGGGGCACTCAAACTGGAACCCATTGGAGTGCCAAATTTTTGTTTAAAAAAACAGTCGTTGAACGAAAAATAAGTATTAGAAATAATGAATTTAATACATTTCAGGAACCAAGAAAAATTAAAATCTGTGTGTTTACTAATATCAACCCATTTATGGTCTATGGCAGAAAGAATAAGGTCAGGTGAAATGTTAGTAAAGAGGGAAACAACATCTAAACTTATAAAGGAAAAATCAGATGGTACAATGAGGGAGTTAAGTTTGGGAATGAGCTCGAAAGAATTTTTTACAAAATGTGGAGAATCATGAGTGATATTGGATAAAATTGAACTAATGAATTTGGATAATTTGCAAAGAGGGGAATTTAAGTCAGCAACTATTGGTCGAAGAGGAAAACCGTCTTTGTGGATTTTGGTAAGACAATAAAGTTTTGGGGAAATGGGATTGTAGGTTTTTAATTGTAGAGAGAGAGGTTTGGGAATTTGCTTGTTTTCTATAAGTGAATCAATTAATTTCAAAGTATTCCGATTTATAAGGTCGGTGGGATCTGAATTTAAAGGTTCGTAAATGTTTGTATCAGCTAGGAGGGTCATGGATTTGAAAATATAGTCAACTTTGTTCATGATAACAGTGATGTTACCCTTGTCTGCCCTGGTAACAACAATTTCTGGGTGTTGTTTGATAAAGGATTTGCAAAAGTGGATGTCCTTGAGTAATTCTTTATGTTGATGAATGTTAGAAATGTCAAATTTGAAAAAAGAATTAAGTTGGTTGCAAAAAATAGATTTAATGCGGTTTTTTTCATTAATATCTTTTAAATTACGTAAGCTGTATTCTAAAGAGCTAAGTGTTTTGACAAAATTAAACGATTTTTTCTGTTGTGGAATGGAAAATTTAGGACCTAGTGCTAAAATGTTCAAAACATTGGGTGGGATTTCTAAATCGGAAATGTTTTTTACCCATTTATTGATGATATCAGGGTTTATATTTATTTTGGATTCGTTTGTCTTTTTCGAATAAAGGTTGTTGAATTTTTTTATAAAGGATTTTTTTGACATATTAAAAGCATTATTGAATCTAGAGTTTTCGAAATCCAAAAAATTGTTAATGTCAATATGATTATTAAAAGTGGAAAATAAGGATTGGATGTTATAATTTAAAGATTTATTTATGTTATCAATAGAAGTAATGCAATGTTTGATTTCTAGATTCAGCAACATAAAAGAGAAAGAAAGCTTTTTATTTTTAAATTAATTGGAATTTAGATGATCAAAGTTTGTTAATTTGAAATCAAAGGATTTTGGTAGAAGTTTTTCTTTGCGACAACGAAGTAAAAAAGTTCTTTTGTTGGTGACGATAGCCAGTTTTGAGAAAAGATTTGAAATAGTTTTAAATAATATGAGTTTAGTAGGTCCATAGCAATGGAAAATGTACTCGAAAAAAGATGGAAAAGAGTAAGGAATACAATTTGTAAAACTATTATGAAAATAATTGTTGTAACGGTAAATTGACGAATTAATGCAATTATTATAACTCTGTGTGTAAGTTGGAAAATGATAAGAGAAACGATTATAATTATGTCTTACCTTATTTGTATGGAGAGCACTATTTACATATATAGCATTGAAATTATAATTATTTTGAAAATTCATGTTGTTAAAAATTAAAAAACACTTGTAAAAGTTCTTGAAAAATCTTGGAATTTGTAACTTCCGTGTAGTATTGGTTCTGAGTGTCCTAACAAAAAGGTCTTGATATGTAGTCTTGCAAAAAATCTTGAGGAAATTTGTTAGGTCTTGAAACATGTAGAATATTTGAAAAAACAGTGTCTTGAGATAGACAAAAATCTTGATTATTTTAGGTTGAAATTGTCCAATTTTTCAGCCCTTGGATTATATAAAGCGAGAGGTTTTTCTTCAGATGGTGAAATAGTATGATAAAAATTGTTTCTTGGGCATCCATCCAATAATTTAAAAAAACAGTTTTAATGCAAAATGTTTTAATTAAGAGAACATACGTTTCGGGTCCAGATTTGACCCATCTTCAGTGCTACAAATAAATATATCGGGGTTACAAATTAAAACAATATAAAATAATATAAAAGATACATAATTACAGACAAAAATAAGTAGAACCAATGTATATGAAAGTATATATGAAAAACAACATAAAATAAAAAATGTAAAGAACTCACCATACAAATAAATTTTTAAAAAAATATAACACAAAGAACAACACAAATTGTAACGAAAAAATAAGTATGAAAATAAATTGAAAAAACATCAAATCATGAAAATTTTTGAAAATTGTAAAAATTAAAATAAATAATATGTTTTATTAATAAAAAGGCTTATTCCAAAACACATCTTGTTAGTTTGGAGACAGAGTTACGTGTGTGTAAACAAAAGTAAAATGTAGGCCTACGTGTTTGCAGCGGAAAATAGTGGAAACTGTATCGTCAATGGATGAGAGAACGGGATAGAGAGAATTTTAGAGGTTACAGTTATGAAGAATTTTCCAGCGATCATGCGCAAGGAACATAGAATTTTTTTTTAAATG